AGCTCCATTCATTTCTTCAAGGGATTTCTTTTAACAATTCAGCTGGGAATGTCTTGAATGACAAAGGGGAAGCAACAGGTGGATTCGACATCACCAACTTGATCACATTTCCTAATAGATCCTTTCAGAGAGTTAGAGTTGGAAAGATAGATCTACAGGCTCCAAAAGGAAAGGAATTATGGATTGATGAAGATACGATTGCATAGAATACAGCTTTTAACCAAGTATCGAATTAGTGAACTGTCCATGCCTTAATCCATTATGATCCCATATTGAATCTAGTCTTTTTCAAAATCTGATTCCTGGATTTTAAAGAAACAGTGGAGTATTCTTTTCAAATGTTGTTTGTTGATCAAGAACTCGTTAAATTGACAAAATGATATTATAAAAGCCATGTTTGTATATTTGATTTGAATTTCCATTTGAAATCACAACGGTGGCCATGTTTCCATGAAATTGTCAGTCTGTGAAATTGTGTACTCTCCCTGCCCTTCAAACAGGACCTTTTCCACATAATTGTGGTTTCTACATCATTTTAAGTTGTGGATGAAACTAATAAATTCAGTATTCTCTTCCATGTGATTGTCATAAAGTGTTATTATTTTTTTGCCCTTTCCTACAAGCAGGAAAGTTTTACATCATTCTAATTTCTACTTTTAAAAAAAATTCCTACATTGTTTTATCTAGTCTTTGGAAAATAAAAAATAATAATAATTTTCCTCCATAAAGAAAAATAACTGTTTTAAATATCTCCAATTTCAAAACCATTTATATTTATCACCAGATTCCTCCACTTTCTCGTTGCAATGACCCTTGTTTCCCTGGATGCTGGAAGAAAAGGATTGAGGGGGATCAGTTCTGCTGCTATGACTGTGTTCCATGCCCAGAAGGGAAGATTTCAAATCAAAATGGTAGGCTAAGAATTCTTAGCAAATTTTAGTAAATTAATTGGTTGCATAAAATTAATAAGGTGCTTTTCAATAATACTGAATAGCAAGAAATGAGAATATTTGCAGCTCAGGGTTAAATAAGGAGTCCTTGGTACTCTGAGCTTCTTTCTTTTCTTGTAAATGCTTTATTTCCTTAACTAGGTAACCTTGTCCATGCCAGTAAGGAGTGTTGTTTGCTGTTAGTTGTATGGGTATCCAATGAAAATGAGCCCAAACACTGCAGCAACTCAGAAAAGGCAGATTAAGGAAATTGAGCGTCTATATAACACATTCCAACAAAATGGATACCGACACAATTTTATTAAAAACTCCCTGATAACTCAACCATGTATAGCATAACCAACTCAAACCCTAAAAAGAATTACATTGTCATACGTCAAGAATATCTCGAAAACCACCAGCAGACTATACAACTGCATGGAATCATACAAGCCAACTAAAGCCCTTCAAAACATCCTAAGGAAATCAAAAGGCCGAGCAACTCCAGAAGAAAAAAACCAGTCATCTCAACATAAATGTAAGAAGTGCAAGAACCACTATGTAGGACAAACAGGCAGAAGATGGCAGAGCACCTCCATGAACACCAAGTGATGATCAGAAGACATGAAGAAAATTCTTTAATTTCACAACATATAGACAGATCCAACTATAGTTTCAATTGGAAAAATATGACAATAGTAGGCCAAATCCAAAAATGCCAGGGAATTTATAGAGGCCTGACACTCTGACAAATCAGCCATCAGTAGACATACAGACATTAACAACATCTGTAGTCTACGCAAATAAGGCAATCAATAAGCTCCAAAGACAACAAAAAGACTCCAGCAGCTTTCCACCAGTAATTAGCACCCAGATCAGCATAGATGAACCAGATAAGAGATAATCAGAGTTGGAAAGGAGCTTGTAGGTCATCTAGTCCAAACCCCCACCCAAGCGGGAGACCCTACACCACTTCTGACAGATGGCAATCCAATCTCTTTTTGAAAGTCTCAAGTGATGGCACTCCCACAACTTCTGAGAGCAAGGTGTTCCATTGGTTGATTGTTCTCACTGTCAGAAAGTTTCTCCTTATTTCCAGGTTAAATCTCTCCTTGTTTAGTTCCCATCCATTATTCCTTGTCTGGCCTACAGGCACTTTAGAAAATAGCTTGACCCCTTCCTCTCTGTGGCAGCCCCTCAAATATTGGAAGATGTCTCCCCTGGTCCTTCTCTTTACTAGACTGGCCAAGCCCAATTCCTGTAACTGTTCTCCATTCAACTGTTTTAGTCTCCAGTCCACTAATCATCCTGGTTGTTCCTCTCTGTACTTTTTCTAGAGTCTCAACACCTTTTTTGTAATGTGGTGTACAAAATTCGATGTAATGGTGTGGTCTTACTAAGGCTTTATAGAGTGGTATTAGTACACAGACCAACAGTCAAGTAAACAATACTTTGGCAGTCAAGAAACTCCCAAAGAGCCATCAAAAAAGAGCCAAGCCAAAAAACCTCTAAGACTTTCCCCACCCACAAAGACAGGCAAAACACCAGAATATAAACTGACAGCAAACAGCACTCCTTCCTAGAATTGATGGTGTTATCTAGCTAGGGTAATGAAATGTCTGCAAGGAAACAAGCAAGCTCAGAGTACACCCAGCACCCCTCAATAATATGGATTGCTTAGATGAAAAATATCTTTGATTTTCCTTACAGATATGGAAGACTGTTTTGAATGTTCAGAAGATCATTATCCAAAGAAGATCTTCAGAAGATCCATGTATCTTGAAACAGCTAATTTTTCGAACTTTTGAAGAAACCTTAGGATTTGGCTTAGCCTCAGCAGCTCTTTGTTTCTTCTTGTTGATATCTTGGGTTCTTGGAATATTTATTAAGCACAGGGACACTCCTATTGTCATAGCCAACAACCGGTCCCTCACCTACACCCTCCTTGTCTCTCTTCTGCTATGCTTTCTCTCTTCTTTGTTGTTCCTCAGCCGACCTGGCAAAGTGACCTGCCTTCTCCGACAATCAATGTTTGGCATCACTTTCTCTGTAGCCATTTCTAGTGTACTGGCCAAAACCATCACTGTGGTTGTTGCCTTCATGGCCACTAAACCAGGATCTCAGATAAGGAAATGGGTGGGGAAAAGATTGGCTTTTTCTATTGTAGTTTCCTGTTCCCTCTTCCAAGTATGTATTTATATTCTTTGGTTGTCAACATCTCCACCATTCCCTGAATTGGACATGCATGCAGAGCTCCAAGAAATGATTTTACAATGCAATGAGGGGTCACCCTTTTTCTTCTACTGTGTCTTGGGCTACATGGGTATCTTGGCTGTTGCCAGTTTTATTGTGGCTTTCCTTGCCCATAAATTACCTGACAGCTTTAACGAAGCCAAGTTCATCACCTTCAGCATGTTGGCCTTTTGCAGTGTGTGGATCTCCTTCTTTCCAGCCTATCTGAGCACAAAAGGAAAAGCCATGGTAGCTGTGGATGTCTTCTCAATCTTGGCCTCTAGTGCTGCTTTACTGGGATGCATATTTTTGCCAAAATGCCACATCATTGTTTTCTGGCCTCACCTCAACCAGAGGGAGAAACTCACAAAGAGACATTAGTGCATCCAGTGATTTTTCTGGCTCAAAAAATTGTTGAAAAAATGACTAGAAATACTATTATCTATAGGAAATATAGCAGTGATAGGAACATAGAAGTTTTTATTTCTGTCAAAGAAAGGTTTGTGTAAAAAGTTCGTGATTATTAAGATTTACTATGATTGAACATTTCAAAATCAGTGCTCATGCTTCTTTCCTTTCAGTAAAGTAAATGTCAGAAATGGTTTAGGGTCTCCTGCTTAGGTGGAGGGTTGGAGTAAATGACCTACAGGTTCCCTTCCAACTCTGATAATCTAAACTTTCATCATTTCTTAAAATTCTTTAACTTAATGTTTTCTCCTTTTCAACACATTTGATTTTTGTCATCTAGCTTTCTATGTTTTTTAAACAATTTTTTTTATTTTTTACAACAAACATGCAAACAAAACATAAAAACATAAAACCCTCTTTCAATTATATACATATGTTATGTCCTCGGGACTGACACCAGTTCCCCATCAGGTCCGCAATTCCTGCGGGGGCGTTCTTAGTCCCCATTGGCTGGCTCCCTTCGACAGTCGGCTATAAAAGCCGGCTGCTAGGTCGAGCCAGCTGCTGTTTGCTGGTAGGTCTGCTGTTAGCTGCAGACACGACAGCCCCCTTTATTCCTCTGAATAAAGTGTGTTATGACTAATGC